TCCAATTGCACAAATAAATATAAAAGCAGAAATGACCAGTCAAGAAGATGTTTTCACATCTGTGGGGAAAGATGTGGAGAGGTCAAACTCCAGGTTCAGACTTATTGCTTTCTGTAATCCTGATTCATCACCGGCATTCTTTATTCGCCTATTCAAAGGCACTTAATTAGCTGAAGGGCTTGTTGCTTTGCCTTCAAAAGCTCTCCACTCCCTCGAAGGCCTCAGCTCTGGCATTGTGCTAGCACTACCCTTTGAAATCAAATCTGTTTTTCTTCTGCGCGGTGTTAGTAAAAGAGCAATATTTTACAAACTTTTCTAACAACAGTCCCTCCTTCCCTCCCCCCCCATGAAAAAAAAGAAAAATAGAGAAGGGATAAGGAGAATACCAAGCCTCTTGCAAAGTGCACTGAAGATAAGTCTGAGATTTTAAAAGAAAAAAGTAGACAGAAGTAACCAATAAAATCTGGCCAGAATTTTTGATTTAATAAACAGGAGATTATTAATGTATGAAAATAGATGTATTCTCCAAGTCAGGCAAGTTTTCACACAACGCCCAGGAAATCCTGCTTAAAACCCTGTGCTTTCCCCTGAAGTCACAACAGGATTGGGTCTACTTAGCTTCAATTCCCCCCACTCTCCACTGCCTCTCAGAATTAGTTATCCATTTCTATCACAGCAGATGAGTATAAAATGCTACCGCGCCAGAATAGTATCATTTTACACCCGCTGTGCTCTGACTTTCTGCCACTGCAAATGATTTCACATGTTTCAAGGCAATGAAGAACTAGGCACATAGTGTTAACATGTTTATATCCACATAGATAATAGCCATAGCCTGTATCACATTATGGTATTTAACTGGGCACAAGGGTCAGTTTGCACTTATGATTACCAAATTCTCCTTCAGATTTCTTTCTAGATGTAGAGCACTTGTATTCAGAAACAACAAGAAAAAAATTAGTTTAAATGTACAAAGAAAAAAAATATAAAAATCTAGCTTGGGTTTTGGTTTTTCTATGCAACCTCTAATTTACTCTGCCAACTCAGATACAGTATTACTAGCTTTCACCACAGTTAAAGAAACATTGTCAAGTCCCTTTGTCAGTGTATTTTTTCATTCTTTAGCATCCTCTTCACTCTCCTGCCATTCGCCATGTACTGCTCAATAGCAACATACAGCCTATTAATAATATCACTGTCCCCCTAGTTCTGCCCCTCTCTAGTTTTTCCCTCCTACAACTTTCGGCAACAGAGCCGAGGCCAAAATACCTTTTGTTGACTGCTCTGTGCACAACTCTGTGCTGGGTGTCAACAGGAATGTGCAGAGCTCTAAGTATAGCCGGCTCGGTCGCTGGAGACAAGTGGTGCACAGAAACGTGGAGCACATCACACCCAAAAGATGGCAATGTATTATTTATGCCCTCCACAAAACAAGCTGCAAACCGATCTTTTGCTCTTAATCATATTTACACAATCCAAATGATGCTCCCCCACCAGATTACAGAAGTCACATTTTGCTTTTCAAAGCCTGGAAGCGCCCCAATCCACTCGTTTCATCGCAACTGGAATGCGACTGCTGTAACTACAGGCTCACTTGTCCCATCTCTCCTCTTTTGGAGACCTTAGGTTCCACTTCAAGGACGCAGCTCTTCTCCCATTGACAGGAATCCAAGACAACTTCCCTGAAATAGTGACATGTTAACAGTGTAACCAACAGGCTGTGGAGTTTTGATTGGACAGAACTCCAGATTTGCACACCCAAACTGCATTTATGCATGCAAAGCAAGGAGATGTCCAACCATGCGGTCTGCCTGGTCAAATCTCTCGTGCACCCAGCTTTCTATATGCTGATGCCAGGAAGACAGGCAGCCAAAAACACATCTGTGGCACACTGCATACTTTTGGAGACCCCTTTTGATTCTTTGGCACCTAAGGCCCGTCCTGTTATTGTGGCTGTTAGAATCCAGACCTTCTTGTGTCATTTCACTCTGCGAGTTGTAAGTATGAAACGAGCCAAATGAAAACTTGATAGTAGGCACAGACTAAGGCTAGCAGTGCCCAGCTCTACAGTATCACACAATGCAAACTGTCAGTGGCTAAATCAATATCTGTCAATGCTCTACAAAAAAAGACAGTGCTTCAGATGTGCAAAGATTAGACATTATCAGATTTACCAGTTTTCCAGGCGATATGGGATTCTGGAAAAAGACTGGACTAAACTGCAAAAATATAATGTTTAGTACAAAAACCTTTGACACGGTACAAGACGGGTGGGTTACTCCACCTTGGGAATGCAGAGCTGTCTTTTCAGCATGCGCTAAAACAGCAACAGAAAAGACTCGCTCTCTGGGTTTGTGTCACAGCAGCTGCTCCCTTCCCCATGTCGCTCTGCCTGCTACAAGGATCAGATTTCATGCTTTATTGTTCACCCTCCAACTGGACACCGTCCACATTCTTCTCCTCCACAAAGCTGCACCTCTCACTCCAAAGCAGAGAGCGCTGGGTCTTCTTAGAGATTTCAGTCACATTTACAAACACGCACATACATGCAGAAAGTGGATGACTTTTAAAAACCAAACAATGTCCCTGGTACAGTGTGAACTTCCTTGTGAGCAGGGATAGAAATGGAGTCTTCCCTCAACAGTTACAAGTTTTCAAGAAGCAGAAGTTGCCACCCCCGGACCCTACATTTCTGAATCTTTAACTTTTGAAATAATCTAAAGCTGTTTGAAAAGTCTGATTCGCTGCGAGCCTTGATGGAGTAGGAACAGGAATGAAATATAAAAGACCCCGATTCTACTCCCAGTTCCACTGCTTAAGTCAAAAACGTCCCCAGGTTATGCAGGACTGAAGCTGGTACAAGCGAGATGAGGTGTAAAATCTCAACCGCCGTGCCTTTCGACCCAACGGTGCAACCAGTTGTTAGCAAATCAGACTGAATATAACATTCCAAGAAATGCAGTAAATATTCTTGAAGCCTGAAGCTTCCTGTATCTAGAACATTTTCCAAAGCTTTCTTATAATTTTGCACCGGTTACCATTTTTTTCCTGGAAAAAAAGATGATCTGCTTTTTCCGTAAGAAACTGTGGTAACGTTATGAAACTTTGATACATGTTCTGATGCCGAGCACTCGCCATCTTTCATAGGCAGCTTAACAGGCTATAAAATCTGGAGCAGCAGTGTCATTTACTGTATAATTAATGTAATAAGTTTTAGCTTGTAAAATCAGTGAGGCTCCGTGCGCTTACCTAAGTGGTCTGAAACTGAAATACTTGCTCGTCACTGGTAATTACTGCTTCGACTCTCCTTGATCTTTACCGATAGTCCCCAAATTACACCCTCTCTCTGGCTGGAGGCGAAGGCCAGAGGTACAGCATAGGCCGGGCAGATGGAAAGTTCCCTGAAGGGGAGCTGTTTCCACCCGTGAAAGAGACTCTGCAGAGTGGTTCTCAGCAATCCAACAAGGGTGGGACAACTCCACCCCGTCACGGGGAGGGGGCGCAGGGAAAAGATACACCATCTTAGACAGCAATGCAACCTAGGACTAGTCCCACTAAAGACAATGCTTGAAAGTTAGGCACATGCTTAAGTGCTTTGCTGACTCAGGGCCTTGCAGTCCCTAAACAACCCCTCAAGTGCTCTGTGCCCACATGTCTATGGCCAGCTATGCAGCAGTGAGGTGCAGCCTTCCCTACCAGCCAATTTTTAAGTAGCTGCCTCATAATAAGGGACTATTGAGCACAGGTCATTTGGAAACAAAGGTGAGTCACCCCTGAAATGGCACCCTGGAAATAAGCCAGAGGCAGTTACCATTAAGAAGCTGACATTTACCAACATTTACCTTTTTCTTATTCTTAGCAAAGGAACAGGCTGCAGTAGCTAAGAAACCACAGTGTGGGAGCTGGCATTTTAAAAACTCTACAGCAAAGAAGAATGAAGCAGCCCAGGATTCTGTCCTTTATTCCCCAATCTTCTGAGGACAGCCCAAGAAAACCACAGATATTAGCCTTTTACAGGCATTAAAGATCCTAACCCGTGGCGACATGATGGGACTCCATGCCACTTAGTGGCAAGAATCACATGTGCACAACACAGTCGCCATGCAGATTCTACTGCCAGAGTTTTGCTTCTGGCTAGCAATGCATTTTCCTGTGGCTGAGAGGTTGCTTTTTAATCTCTATTTTGAAAGGTTTTTCAGCACCTAAGATACAGATGTTTTTCCCTCACTCCCGAGTCTGTACAACAAATGCCACCCCTTAAGTTCTCCCTTTAAGGGCCTGTTGTCCCAATGACTCTCTCTCCAGCAGAATGGCAGTAGATGCAACTCCTCCTATCTCCCAATGGGAGTTATTCAAGGGACCAAATGGCATTCCCCCCACACTAGCCGTGTTCCCAGGTTTATCCACATGCGTGATTCCAAGGCAGGGCATGGCACACAGCCAATGCAGGTCATTTCTGGTGAGTGCTGGCAAAAGGGATTTCAAGACTGCCTTTTTGCTAGTCAAATTATGCTTCATCTGATCTGCTGAACATACTCTGGCTGTATTTTCATCCCTCCTGTTTCTACCTGGCTTCAGAGGTATAACATGGAGCTGGATTCGGTTCTGCATATTAAAAAAATACCCATTTAAAAAAATAAATGGCAATGACAGATAATGGAAAATCCATCAAGGGAACACATCTCGGCTACTAACAAAATAAGCTAAAAGGCTATGCTTAAAAAGAACCAATTTGTGTGGCTTGAGACACTCCTTGTGTAATAGTGTGAAGTTATCTGCACAGTGAGAGGAAACAACTGGGGAGGCATGTGATGGAATCACATTGCATTTTAGTTGCAAAAATAAATCAGAATTACTCTGAAGGACCCCAGGATGCTGTTATCAAGTTATCTATGCATGTACCCAAAAGACTTAGGGACACTATAGATGAAATGCTAAAGTTAGGCAAACAAACCACAATCAGCGTTTTCCCATAACCCTGTAATATAGAGGGGTCTCACCTGTCTGGGTTGAGATGGCAGCGTAGGCTGCATTGGTCTCTGCAAGCGAGGCGGCTGCATGAGTTGTCGAAGTTGCTGCTGGATAAACTGTGAGTTGCTTGCCTGCTGCAGAGCCTGCTGCGTGGTTGGAGCTTGCTGCTGCTGTTGCTGGAGATAGTGTATGAGGGACTGCTGCCCCTGCCCTGCAGTCATGGGGGGCATCTTTTGAGCCGTTGACTCAGATGTAAAATGAGACAGTGGTTTGGTGTTATTGAAAGAAAATTGGTCTTGGCTGACCGGATTCTCACTCACCAGTCCCGGCTGCAAGCCATTGGATGGCTGCTGCATAATGAGGTTCATGTTTTTGGTCTGGCTGGTTGTCATCGATTTGAAAAGCGGGTTCTGCATGCTGGGGGAATTGCTAGGGGGTGTGATGTTGGGGATTAACGTGCTCTGCGGACTAAAGGGTTGCTGGTGGAGAGCCGGGCTTGACAATTTTTCTGGCCTGTACGGTGGGGAGGGTCCCGTGCTCGTGGAGGCCATGCTAGAAACCAAGTTGTTCGGTGGACTCTTAATATTGTTGGCAGGGATGCTGGTGGAAGTCATGCCAGGCAGCATGGAGCTCTGAGGGCTGAAAGGCTGCTGATTAAGAGCTGGGCTGGAGAGCTTCTCAGACCCATATTGAGGGGAGGGTCCACTAGATGGGTTGCTATTGGAAGCCATGTTTGAAAGCAGAGTGTTTTGAGGACTCTGAATGCTGTTTCCTGGTAAACTATTAGAGGTCATGCCAGAGACCATGACATTTTGAGGGCTGAAAGGTTGATGGTGAGGGGATGATCCTGGCCTGTATGGTGGAGAAAGTCCTGGAGGGGACATGGTTGGCCAGCTGGGAGCCTGTGGCTTAGGTGTAGATACTTGCTTGCTTGCTGCCAGCTGCTTTAGCTGTTGCGCATGCCAGTTAGAGCCAGGCATGTTGGACAAAGGTACTGGGAGGATCGACGGCGGCTGATTCTTATTCTGTGCTGCTGTAGAGATGGGCGATGCAGCCGCTTTATTTGGAGGAGGAACAGGATAATTTGCCCCAGCGGACGAAGGCCTCATCTGGGGGGATCCTCCACTGGTTGGATTGCAACCTGGAGAAAAGTCTTTGTTAGTAACATGGTTCTCCAGGTGAGACGTCTGGGGAGAGGGCTTTGGAGTGGTGCTTATGCTCGGCTGCGAGTGACTCAGGCTTAGCGGCTCCTCAGGTTTGCTTCCCAAGATCTTCTCAAGGTCCAGGTCATTTGGAGACGGATCGGGCATTTTTGTCAGCTCTTCCAACAGGTCCTGCAGCTCCTGGTCCACAGACTGCATGCTGCTTCCTTTCTCGTCATAGTGAACGATATTATTTTGTCCACCTATTGACCCTTTCTGACCTATCTCGGTGTTGGGTGGTACGGAAAATGGAGAACCAATGCCACTGCCATTCATGTGATTGTTTTCAAGTAGCACTGGATGACCAGCCACTCCTAGAGAAGGAGCGCCGTGATTGGTGGAGAATGGAGAGTTCTGCATATCTGGACATGGCACGTTGGGATTGGTGCCTTGGCCCATGGAAAGAGTTACATCATCAAGGCAGAGTCTCTTATTGTCACTTGGGAATATGACATCAGGCACGCCACTGGAGGCAGGAGAGCTATCATCTTCCAGTTTTCTCTTAATGGATCCCTGTAACTGCAAGAAAAGAAGCTATTATTGACCTTTTAATAACACATCCTACAGCTGCAAAGTGCAAACCTGAGACACTGAGAAACCTTAGTTTAAAACAAAACATTAACCCATCAGAACCCTTTCAGCCAGGATTTCAGCACGTGCAACTTTACTGAAGTCAGAGTCAGGCAAAGACTAGACCTGACATGCTGGTCTTCAAACAGATGTTAAAGCTGTAGAATACTGGCTGTCTTTGTGAACAATAATAAGAGGGGTTTTTCCCTTTTTTGCACAGTTTCTGGTACCATTTCAATTAGGACTTTATACTCCCTGCATAACAAACATGCCGACATTTTTATGGAAAAAAAAATTTAGTCTAAACAACAGCAGATTTGAATAAATCATAGAATAAAGTTGGGTGACCCATTGCCAATGATTGATATTAAATTTAGACCTGAGACAGCTAAACTATTTTACATTTTTCATACACAGGGCATCTGAAATAATTGGCATACCGTCTAAACAAAGCAAAACAAAAAACCATCTCAGCTACCCAAATAGATTTTCAGCTTCCAAGCTCTTTAAGCACGAATGTTTCAGCCTTCACAAAGCACCTAAAAATCTCATTTTTGTTTGTTCTTATGAATCAGCAACAGTATAGGCTTTGTTCAGTTGAAGGATTGCAACTCATTGACAAAAACTGATGTGTTTTCAAATATAATAAAGGCATAGATAACTTGTGTTCCTCACTAAATGGGTGAATCACAAATCCAGAAATCTTTAAGAAAAAAAAAAAAAAAATCACTATTTTTTTTTACTGTATGTAAAGGTAGTTAAACTGAAAACAATGATTCCAACATGCACTCAACAAGATATGCCAATCTTTTCTAAATATAATTATCTGTAGTTCTCATTTTAATAACCATGACCTGTGTGTCATAGGATTAATCAGACATTAATGCTGCTGCTTCAAGTTAAGGGCATTAAAATTATGTTCTTATTTATCAGTAGGGAGAGACTGCATTTAGAAAATTACCTAAATACCAACAGGCAAATCAGAGGGGGTCATTATATCCCCTTTAATGTGTTTAGGATAAAACAAACACTTGTACGCTTCTCCTAAGCTTGGCCTCCAATTAAAATTTTTTCCAACTTTGCCAGTTAGGAGTGTGGAAAACAAAAATATCACCCCCCCACAACAGATGTGGCTTTGCTGGCAGTAGCCTAGTGAATCTCCAGTTACAATGGAAAACAGCCCTTCTTTGGGCTAGCCTATGGGGTAGCCTATTCAAGTCAGGAAACTAGTATAAAAACTTGCCATTATAAGCTGTCCCTCCACTAGAAGGGTTTGCTGGTATAGATATACTTACGTAGTTTTTTGCAGACCCTTTCTAGTGTAGATAGTATTCACTTCTGTAGCTCGTAATCTATACAGCTTCTCCCACTGTCCCTAATACTCAATTTCCAATGTGTGCAGAGAGCAATGGCAGATAAAGCCTCTACACCAGCTCCTTTCCTTTTGGGAGAGATTTGTGGTTATTTAAAAGATCCCATGGCACGTTTGCAAGAATAAAGGCACTCAGCCAAGTGCTCTGACCTAAACCAGGTTTATCAACTAATTCACCTACTGTGCTGTAGCTTACAATGTCTTATTTGCATTCTGCTGGCCCCTGGGGAGCCCGAGATCAGGACTCATTGTGCTGGGCACTTTACAGACCCAGGGCAAACTTGGCCTGCCCCAAAGATGTCACCTCTAATTGCACAAGCAAAAGCTAAATTTTCATTTTCTCAGGGAGGACTGGGAGAACAGGTCTTATGCAACAGCCTGTCTCCCCCCACTGCCTCTGTTTTGCCACCTCTTACTTTCCAGGGCTGGGAAAGGAGGAGGATTGTGTGGTTGGGCTTGTGGGATCACTGATCTATGGGTAGTGTTTAGACAGGGCAAGGCAGGTACAGAGGGAAGGCAGAGGGTCACTCGGACAGTGATGGTTTGTGGGTTGGGGGTGGAGAGGTGAGCCTGGGGGTATGGTAAAGGTAGCTTCTGCTCAGGCTTTACATGGTGCTTGGCCACTTCTTGCACAGTTTGCAGGTGGGCCCCGAGAGGCCAGCTTTGTGCTCAACGTGGGCCGCACTTGAAACGCACTTGCAAGTTGCAGCTGGTGCAGGACGTGGGCGCTTGCCTGTCAAGCAGTGCTAGTTACAAGGAACACACGCTGGGCATTTGACAGCTGTACTGGATTCCTGTTGTCTTCTGTTGCTGGTTGGGGGAACTATATGTGGCTTAGGTCCTTCCTGTGCGAGAGTACCTCGCTGTCCTCACTGCTGTGGCCACAGGGACCAAAAGTATTTAGTGTTTAGCTCTAAGCATCTGGGGGATCCTGGCAGGCTGGCGTCAGCAGAAGGTTACAGACCATCTTTTAATCCAGAGGCCTGACAAGGCCAAAATCTGTTGGTCTTGGCATGAGGCTCAGGCCTTCTTTCAGGTGTCTGCCTGAAGCACAGGACGTCTGGCATCATGTTCTTCAGGAGCATCCCTATTCTTTGCTTTCATAAATTGGGGCTAAAGTTGTATACTCAAGCATACCCTGCCCATGCGCTCCAAGCCACGGTAACAGGGCACACCACCTTCAATCTAAACACGTCCACATAGGGAGCTTGCACAGGTCCCCTCCCATCTCTAGAACAAGTACCGCATGTTCCCAAGTGGCACGCTGGGAAAGCTAAGGCTGGAAACTGTGGGGCACCTGCCATACTTGGCCAACAGGAGTGCTGGCACACCAGTCCCTGCCAATGCTTCTCATGCCATGGGACATTCCTTTGCTCTGAGTTTACTGCATAGAAATCTGGGCTTCCAGAATGAGCAGAAAAATATTTTGAGAGAGTTATGCTAGAGAGTAAACAAGAAGAGGAAACTCAGTTTTCTCCTGGATATTACTAGAAAACCGGTCTGGGTGGAAGATCAGGATTCTCAGAAGGGCTCAGCCTCTCCAGCTGAGAGCTGGAGCATGTGGAGCCCCTTCAACCAGTCTGGCCAAACCGTATGTGCTACAGCAGGATCGGTGGGGTGCTCAGCTGTCCTGAAAGTTAGCTCTTATTAGGTGCCTAACCAGAGCTGATCAGCTTTGAAAAATCAGTCCCTGACTGACACTCTTAAAAGCGCCTGTCTCAGGGTGTTCAGTAACACGCAAGCTTTTAGAAGCATTTCCTTTTTACATTTAGTAAAATCTCTACGATTTTTTTAAAGCAAAAGATCTTGGCATTTTGTAATGGCCCTCATTTTTATGGCACTTGCAGATAGTGTCCACAAAGTGCAGTGGGAGAAGCAGGGGCAATGCCACTGAATTTAGCAAGGCTGCCTTCCCTTCTGGCAAGGCGGGATACAGCTGCGGCACCCGGAAGGTTAGGACACTACCTTTAAAGCATCCCAGGAAAGGAGAGACGGCAGCATTGCGTCAGGCAGCAGCTAGGTGTGGAAATCTCTCATTGAATTAGAGAACTGGTTTTTGTTAAAAGGCTCGCCTAAGTATTTCATGCTCAAGCACACATGATTCATTACTCATTTACAGTGCACTGTTCAGCCTTGCTATCTCTGTTAGGAGCCTGCTAGATTTTTCTCCCCAACTCCCTAAATCCCATTTGAATGCTTTCAGTGGAAAATGTAGTACATTAACATGCCACTGTGGCAATTCTGACAAGTAGACGGGACAGAAATGCAGCTGTGTGTTATGGAGACATGCGCTACTTGAGATAATCTGCTTGCAACGGCAGAGGATGATCACTGCTGGGCTGTTTTCTAGAAATACAGGGGTGTTCGCAGCTAACCCATCCAATATGCTGCGTACTGAAGGTCCTTATCATTCCAGTTGCTCGTGGGCACCTCCAGCCCGTAACATCTTGCTTGTGTACGACTTGACGCCTTCTACCACGTGCACTTGTGCCACCCCCCTTGCCTCGCACTGGCTCTCCCTAGGAAAAGGGGCTGTTTCACTCCAGTTCTCTCCCCCTTTCAGCATCTGCTATCATTTGTCATTACTTGGCCAAAACAAAAAAAACGAAACAAGAACAACAATGGAAACACTCTGCCTCTTTCTGTGCTGCTTACCATGCTGCCACACTCTGGTTGGGAATGAATGCGTCTCTCTGTATGCCCGCGTGTGCCCACAAATACAGTTGCACCAATGGACTGCTGCTGTACGTGGCTACGTCTGTAAAAGCTTCATTCATATGCACAAACAAGGACTAAACAGACAAGCAACCAGTGTGCTCTCATGTGACCTGGTGAAAATTCATTAAAATGCGTTCAAGTGCACATGATAGCTTCTTTTGAGTGCGAGTTGGGAAACAAAGGCAGGCCTTCTGATTTGGGGGGAATTGAACTCCGAGGCCTCCCATTATCTCTGGTCTGCTTTTAAGAGTGAGAATGACGCGCTCCCAGTTCTACTTTTATCTCAGAATGAAAAGGCTGCATTTCTGGGAAAGGCCTGAGCTGCCAATGAGAAGTACTGCTGGCTCATAATGGTAGTGTAACAAGAATAAATAATAACTGTTTATACTCCTCCTTCCAAGGAAGCTGTACAGCTGTGGTTACAAACATCTCATTTGTCACACACTACCTCCACGCAGAGAGGCAGTTCCCTGCATGTGTGCCTGCACTCTTCTCTGCTGGGCAAGGCAGAGAGGGCAGGCTCCATGAGCTGTAGCCAGACCCTTTGCGCACTACCTCTAAATTAAGCCACTTGGCTCTGATCAGGCTGTGGTTCTGCTGGCCCCTTGCAGCCAGCCCCCTGGCTTGTGGCTGCACCTAATTCATCTGACCGGAGAGCAGACTGAGGCTGATCTCTAGACGGAAGCTGCTGGCACCTGGGGTGGGAGGTTGCCACAGTGGGGCCTGCAGTCTCCCTGGGCTGCACTCGAGGTGGCTCGTAGCAGGAGCAGCCATGGTGCATTAGGCACTTTTCAGGACAAGGCCTCCTCCCTGAGAAGCTTAACCATCTAGACAGGCACAGAGGGGCCAAGGGTAGAAG